ACATTAGTACTCCTTGGCTGGGGACAGACATTGCACAAAACCCAGTTTAAGTGAGCAGAAACTGGTTTAAGCCTGTAACAGAACAGACTTTCAGTGCACATAAACCAGTTTCAAAATGGCTGAAGCCGGTTTGAGATAATTCTGGGTGAATGTAGTATCAGACAACTGATTGAGCTCAAACCTGTTTATGCAATGTCTGTCCCAGACCCTTCCTGGTTTAACTTAAACCAGAGTCTGCCAGCTCTCTGGGCACAATCTCAGGGCTGGGCTCTCTGCTCCAGGGCGGGCCCTCCTCTTCAGCTCCCCAGTCGAGCAAGGACAGGCAGGGGTGGAGGTCTGGCCAGAGAGGTGTTTAATTCCCCCCTCCCTGTTCCACCAGCAAAGATCCAAGCTGGGTCTTCCGGGTGCTCCTCCCTTGCTGCTGCAGCAGCAGGCTGCCATTTATTCCTCCCCACTACCTCTAGGGGACTGCAGCCAGGCCTGCCTGCCCTGACTGCTGCTGCTCACTCCCTGCTTGGGGCAAGTGGTGGAATAAGCTCCCTCCTTCCCCCTTTGTTGGATGCTAGAGGGAGGGGAATAACCCCCATCCCTGCACCCTGCCTAAGAGAACTGCTGGCCAACATCTGGCTGTGCCCCTGCCTGGCTGCTGCAGAGGGCAGCAACCCCTGTCATACTGTTGGGGAGCATGAGCCCTTTCCCAGTGAGGGGTTCCTACTGCAGGGTGGGCAGAGCTGTGCCGGACTGCACATGGCAGCACCAGGGCTCGGAGGCAGGCAGAGCTCTCCAAGCTGTCGCTGCTGCTGCCATGATCCACAGCAGCTTTCCTAGCCCTACTGCATGGCCCCCTGCCAGGAAGGGGCTTGCGCTCAGGGAAACCATGACAGAAGTGGCTGCCCTCATCTCAGTCACTCCCCCCACACCACTCCAGTGCTGGGGTGGGGGCAGAGCCTGATGCCGACTGGCAGAGCCTCTTAGGCGGAGGGCAGGGAGCGGGCTTTTCCCCTTCTGCCCCCAAGGCACCACAGCGGGGTCTGCCTGCCCCGATTGCCACCACCACTTGCTCTGTGTGTCACAGGCCAGCTGGGCACTGTGAGTATATCAATTTAGCCACTGGGCTGTTTGGTTCGGGATCGAGGAGGCAGAGTTGGGAGTAAAGCAATGGCAAATTTATTATAGCTTACACACACACAACAGTTAACAAAAAGATAAATGCAATAAGCAAATAATGCAGTATTAAAGAGCTAATAGTAAATAATAACAACAGAAAATAGCAACAGATGGATCAATCTGTCGCAGGCCGGCTGGGCACTGCGGGGGTATCAGCCACTGGCTGTTTAAAACAACAGATAGACAGACATGGGTTGGCAACTTAACGATAGTCCCTCAATGCCAGGTGCACGCCAGGTGATTCCAGCGAAGTCAGGCATCCCAGATCAATGCTGTCAGAGGGATTACTGGGGAAGATCCCTTGATCAGGATCCAATCCTCACTCACACCAGGAGTCCGGGGTCTGGGCGTGGAACAGCAGTGACTGTTCTGTTCCCTCCTTCCTGCTGGTCACCTGATGCACGCGCTTTTTATACCTAGTTTTATGCTAATCTGTTGGCTTTAGAGCCATTCACAATCTTGTCCTATAGCTGTTGCCCTATCGTATTAAAAGGTGTTAAAAATTATTATAAAAGGTTACTACCCAAACTTGGGTTTATCCAATAAGCAAATTACAACGCAGCATCTTCAGGTTTGAAATTAACATTACTCCGTCCTTTAGATCTCTCTGACTATGCTTTTTTTGAGATGTGCTTTCCTGGAATGTGCTGGGTAGGCCAGGCAGTTGAATCCAGTTTTAATCATCATCAAGGTTAAATTCTGAGCAAGAAAAAACCTAGGTCAGCTAATTTTACAACTATAGCTTTGTCTTTGAGGCCTAGTCAGTTCCACAAACAGTTACAAGTTACATTTGCGGGTTACAAAAATAAAAAGCTTTATATTAGACAAAAATTCCAAATGCCTCTAAGAAGCACATATTTATTGCTTATTAATTTCTTTGGTTCTGGCTGTCACATCTGTGCCTGGGGCAAGTGGTGGAATAAACCCCCTCCTGTGCCCCTCCCTACAGCATCTGTGGAGGAGGCTTATTCCACCGCTTACCCTGGGCACAGAGTGATTGTGGGGTCAGCCAGCAGCAAGATAAAATTAATTAATTACCATTAACATTGTCCAGTTTGTCAATAAAAGTCAATATTTCTGCAATATGTTTACTTCTGATAATGTGCCTGATGGTATCTGTGCACATCTAACTGCCATGTTAAATTGGATATGTATTCAAATTCCAGGGGTAAATTTTTTGAGGTCTGCAGGATATAAAGAATGGATCAAGGAGTTTAAGGGCTGAACATGTATTGTGCATAGTAAGATGCAAAACTCCAAAAGTCCAGGAACAAAATTATTTGCAGATGAGTAACGTTTAGGCGAGGGACAGAAGTTACACATAAACCAGTTTAAGTGATCAGAAACTGGTTGAAACCTGTAACAGAACATAAGAACACTACACGTAATCCAGTTTCAAAATAGCTGAAACCAGTCTGAGACAAGCCTGGTTGAATGTAGTATCAGATTTAACTGATTGAGTTCAAACTGGTTTGTGGAACTTCTGTCCCAGACCCCATTCCTGGTTTAATTTAAACCAGAGTCCCCCAGCATTCAAGTATGCTCTGCGGCCCTGGGCAGGGCTGTGGTCTCTGCTCCAGCAAAGCAGGGCTGGTCTACCCCTCTGCTCCCTAGCCAGAGCACGGGCAGGCAGGGGACGGGGTGTGGTGAAGGGAGCAGGGAAGAGGTTTCTTCCCCCATCGCTTCCCTGTCCCACCATCACAGACCCCAGATGGGGTCTGACAGGAAGGAGTGCAGCAGCCCCTGCCAGGCATTTCTCCACTTACTGTTCTAGTGGTGGGGGCATGGCCAGGCCCAGTAGTACCCTCAAGTGAACTGACCAGGAAGGGGTCTTAATTTCTTCCCCCTCTCCCACCGGCATGGACCTGGGCTGGGGTGTGCCTGGCGCTCTCCCGTCACTGCTGCAGGGACAGGGATGGGGCAAGGGCATAGCCAGACACTGGCTGGCATGGAGCCCTGAGGCAAAGAGGGCAGGAAAGAGATTTATTCTTCCCTTTGCCCCTGGGCAACCACAGCCAGGGTCTGCCTGCCCCAACTGCCACTGCCGATCACTCACTGTGTGGGGTGAACAGTGGGATAAGAGCCTTCCCTGCCGCCTCCACCAGATGCCAGAGAGAGTGGGGAAATAATCTCTCATCCTGCCCCTTCGCCTCAGAGGGCCATGCCAGCCAGCCTTTGGCTGTGCCCCCGCCCCTGCTACTCGAGCAGCAAGGGGGTAGGGACTGTGACGGGGGCTGCAGCCCCTCTCATGGTTTCCTGGGGGGGCGCAAGCTTTGTCCTGGAGCCCACTCTCCTCTTAGGCAAGGGAGCAGGGAGAGGGGCTATTTCCCCCCTCCCTCCAGTGTCTGGTAGAGGAGGAAGGGAGGGAGCTTATTTCAGCTTAGTCTTCCACTTGTCCCACGCAGGCATCAATAAGTGGTGGTGGTAACAGTTGGGGCGGGCAGACCCTGGCTTTGGTCCCCCAAGGGCAGTGGGGAAAATAAACCCCCTTTCTACCCACTTGTCTCAGGGGGCCATGCCGGCTGGCATCTGGTCCTACCCCTGCCACTGCAGCAGTGAGAGGGGAGTGCCAGGTGAACCCCGGTTTGGGTCCCTGGTAGTGGGACAGGGAGGGAGGAATTAAATCCCTTCCCTGGCTAGTTCACTTGAGGCTACTGCCAGGGCTGGCCATGCCTCCACCCACCTCCCTCCCTGCTCCTCCCCCCCAGCACAGCCTCCCTGCAGCCGAGGGCGTGCTCTAGCCCGGCTCCTGGCCCAAGCCACTACAAGCATGTGTCTGCATTTCCTGAATGTCTAACTTGTAAATTGGTTCAATCTAGGCAAGTTAAACTAGCCTGCAAAAACTGAATCAATTCAGGCTCTGGCTTTTTGAATGTCTGTCCCTAGCCTGAGGGATCTGTGTTGTCCAGAGGTTTACACAACTGTCCTGGATGCCTGCATAACCTGTTGCAGATTTTCATGAAGATCAAAAGTGTTCTATTTGCAACTTTGCATTCATCCATGCCCTTTAGATCCTTAACATATGTCCATTCTTATTTGTACAATCATTTTCATCATGGTAAATAGTTTTTTATAGTATATGCAAACAAACAATGGCCTTTGTAATCAGGAAAAAATTAATAGACGGTAAGCATGTTTTTGTAGTGCTGTTGAAATCATATTCATTTTAACTGAAACTTTAAAAAAATTTCTTCAAGTTTTTACACGTTAACTATATTTTATCTTGCCTGTTCTTCTGAAATATCTACTCCTTTGAAAGTCTAATTCTTTGCCTGGATGCCTTTTTCTCTAATTTGATTCCTAAAGAAACTTGAAGGTCTTGTGGATAAAAGTGTGAATCAGGACATCTATGTTCCAGTCCCCTCGTTGCCACTGAATTCTTGTATAAACTGACTCAAGTCATATTACCACTT